GGGCGGCAGCAGGTGGGTGAGTGCCGGCGCCAATGAGCAGGCGCTGGGCTCCCCTAGCAACAGTGCCCGCGCCAATGGGCGCCGGGAGCTGCCTGCGAGGCTGCCTGCAACCCTGCCCGCAACACTGCCGGAGACGGGTTTTCCCAGGCGACCCTTCCCCGCCGGCCTGGCCCCGGCCCGGCGTGGGCTGCGGGGCAGAGAGCAGCACCTCGCTGCCCTCCCTCCGCTTTGCCGGCCGTGCCGAGCCATGGCACGCCGTGCCGAGCCATGGCACGCCCCGCCGTGCTGTACCGTGCCACACAGTGCCTTACCGTACCACGCCATGCCTCACCGTACCACGCCATGCCTTACCGTACCACGCCGTGCCATGCCATGCCATGCCTGCGCCGGCTAGCTGGCCGTGCCGTGCCCCGCCCCATCCCCAGCCCCCCGGGCACCGCCGGCCAGCAGAGCCCTGCTTTCACCCCACGCGGCATCGCCCGTCCCCGTCGCTCCTGGGCTCTGCGGTTAAAGTCCAATCCTGCTTAGCATCCCTCCCGGGGGCTCAGCCAGGGTGGGCAGGGGCCCAGTGCTGGGCTGCCCGCTCCCTGCCCGTCTGCTTCCCCAGGATTAGGCAACCCTGCTCGGCTTCCCTGGGGGGATTTGCCCTGGCTGGTGTTTCCTTCCCCAGCCGGAGGGAGGGAGGAGGCCGGTGGCATGGCGGGGGAAGAGATGCCGGTGGAGCCCGGCCTGGGCAGCGGCGAGGTGCCGAGCAATGGGGAGCCATGACTGCAGCCTCTGCCCCCTTCCCTGCCCCTTCTCGGTGCGCTGGTTTTGTGAGCCACCCTGAGCCGGCTGCTTTAACGTGGCACTTGGAAGGACTGGTGCTGGCCCAGGGACAACTGGTGACAATAAACCCATCCTAAACCAACCGAGCCTGGAAAGGGACCAGGGGAGCAAAGGGATGCTGGAACTGGCTCCAGGTGGGAGCAGGCAGACGGCCACTCTAATTAGGTTTAAGCTGGAGCTGGATCAGTCTTTGCGGGGGATTATGACCCCTCGATCTGCGTAGGCGCTGCGGGGGGCCCGGCGACCGCCTGCTCGGTGTCCGGGCACGGCCACGGCATTATGGGTGAGCCCTCGGGTAAGGGGCAGCACCAGCCAGGGCCAGTCCCCCTCCGGCCCCGTGGGTCAGCGTGGGAAGGCTGGATCCAGTGTGGGGGCCCGCTTTGTTTTTACAAGGACACTGGGAGCTGGAGCAGGGATGAAAAATAGCCAGAAATATGATTAGAGGATTGGAGAAAATGCCTTGGAGTACAAGCTTTAAGAGCTCAATCTGTTTAGCCTATAAAAATAGAAGACTGAGGGGTGACTTAATTACCGAGCATAATTACTTCACAGGCAGAAAATACCAGGTAGTGGAAGTCTCCCTTTAATCGAGCAGGAAAAGGGTGCCAGAGAGCCAGGGGCAGGAAATTGAAGTCACAGACAAATTGTAAAGCACCGCGTCCCGGCAGTGAAGCTCCCCGGGGGTGCGGGCTGCCTCCCTGGGGATGGTACATCCTTGCAGTCACCCGTTGGGTGATGGTCTGCGCCCCCGCAGCCCCCGCAGATGAGGCTGTTCCCTTGTTCCCTTCCTTCCCACCCAGACAGCGAGGGGCTGGAGCGGGTTTTCTGGTGGCTGGGTGCCAAGTGGTGGGCATCGCCGTCGGACGCGTGCCGGCAGTGCCTCCATCTCCCTTCTCTTTCTCTCACCAGCTGGGGCGGGTGCCGGAGCACAGTTTTGCCGGCAAGCCATGGGGCAGGAGTGGAGATTTTGAGGCCTCTCCCGGGAGTCCCCAGAGCCATGACTGCAACTGTGCAGACGCTGCGGTTCAAGCTGCTGCCGCACGAGCCGGGCCAGGAGTGGGGGCACAGCTGCCAGCAGGAAATCGAGCGTCGCTACCAGGTGGTGCCCTCGGTGGTGTGTGCCATGTGCTGCCTCTTCGGCATCATCTACTGCTTCTTCGGTGAGCCAGGCCAGCCTGGCAGCTGGTGGGGCAAGTGGGGAGAAGGGCAGGGGGGAGCTGGGGGGATGCTGGCCATCCACCCCCTGACTGCGGTGGTCTGTCCACAGGCTACCGCTGCTTCAAGGCCGTCATGTTCCTGACGGGGCTGATGTTCGGCTCCATCATCATTTTCATGCTGTGCTACAAGGAGCGGGTGCTGGACACGCAGCTGAGCGTGGAGGCCTCGGTGGGCATCGGGCTGGGCATCGGGGTCCTGTGCGGCCTGGTCACCATGCTGGTGCGCAGCGTCGGCCTCTTCATGGTGGGGCTGCTCCTGGGGCTGCTGCTGGCGGTGGCCACGCTGGTGGTGATGGAGCAGTTCTACCACCCACCGACGGTGTGGATCCCCATCGCGCTCCTCCTGGGTGTGGGGATGCTCTTCGCCGTCCTCACCCTGCAGTGGCAGCGCTTCTTCACCACCCTCTCCACCGCCGTCTTTGGCAGCGCCATCATGACCGTCACCGTCGACTACTTCATCGAGCTCTTCCTCCTGGTGCAGTACATCTACGAGCGCATCAAGGTGGCCCCTGCTCGCCCCGTGTGCTGGTACAGCTGGGTCATCCTGGGCGTCTGGCCACTCCTCACCGTGCTGGGCGTCCTGGTCCAGTGGAAGGTCACGGCCGAGGGCTACTCCCACACAGAAGGTGTGTGGGGGCTGGGGGAGATGAACGTGGCCCAGGGTGGGTACAGGAGCTGGGGGACCGGGGGACTGGGGTGGAGGTTCCCGGCACCTGGTTTGCACGCACAAATAAGGGATTTGGGACTTTACAGGGGCACAGCACTCAAGGGGAGGCCTGGGTCCACAAAGCTGGGGCTGATTTGGGTCCGGGGCTGGTTTGGGTGTGCTCCCCAGTGCTCACAGGCCCATCTGCCCCACAGTGATCATCAGCCGGCAGCAGCGCCGCGTGCAGCTGATGCGCATCAAGCAGCGGGAGGACCGAAAGGAGAAGAAGAAGAAGAGGAGACCCCACCACCCACCGCCCCACCAGCACAAAGCCCACCCTCCCGAGCCTGCCTACCGCCGCAAGCCCAACCCTGTGCGCCGCTTCGATGGGGACGTGCTCTCCCCCGTGAGTCCCGCACCCAGGGTAGAGATCTCCCCCGGCCTCCGCGGCCCTTCCTTCTCCATGTAGGTGGGCTTGGGGCAGAGAGGGGAGAGGTGCCCGGGGGCCAGCCAGCATCCGAGCTCCTCGACGGGCGAGGCCGGGGCATCCCGGGGATGGGGCAGCTCAGGAGGGGCTGGGATGTGCCCACCATGGAGCACGTCAGCCTTTGCAAGCAAATGTAAACTGGTGGCCAAAAGCGCTGCGGCCACAGTAGAAACAGGTGTCGGGCAAGGTGTGAAGCGTGTGCCCAGGGAAGGGATGGGGCTGTGCACCCTGCTGTGGCCAGCCTCTGGAGGGCCCAAGTGCTGGGGTGGGTGGGATTGCACAGGGCTGGGTCTGGGGGGCTGCTGCAGAGCTTAAGGTGAGGTGGGGTGCAATGGAGTGTGCCAGGACCAGAGCCCCCCTCACTTTCTGTCCGCCCCCCTCTCTCGAGCAGAGCTACATCCAGAGTTTCCGAGAACGGCAGACGGGGCCGTCCCTGAACAGCCTCATCACCAGCTCCCACGCCGTGGTGGACCTGGACTATGACTGCAGCTCCACCGTGCCCCTCACCACGGGCTCTGGCCCTGCCGTGAGGGTATAAGCCAACCCAGTGACCTCGAGCGACACCAGCACCCCAGCCTGCTCCAACAGACCCCCTGGGACAGGTGGGGCTGTGCCCTTGGCCCCGGGTGGCCACGTGCAGCTTGGGGCTGCAGATGGAGACCCTTCCTGGGGACGCATGGGACTTGCCTGGGCAAGCCCTGGCTACCCGCGGGGCCTGGAGGTGCTGAGGGAGCCCTCCGGCAGGGACTCAGCCCAAGGACCGGTGACACCAGCACCCGTGGATGTGTGGTGCGAGCGGCTCTGCTGGGGCGAGGGTTCCCTGAGCCCCCGCTGCTGCGTGTTTCCCCACGGCCCGGGCATGCTCATCCTGCATCCCAACATTGCCCTCCCCATATTTGAGCCCCCCTTCCCCGAGAGCAGCTCCCCACGCCTGCCCCCACCCCGTTGCACCCCCCAGCAACTCCCCAAGTGCCTGTGCCCTACGTCCCTTCCTCAAAGAGCAGGTCCCACAGCCCTTGCCCCCCAGGGACTCCCCCGAGCATGTGCGCCCCATCCCACCCTGGCCCCAAGAGCAGCTCCCAGGCAGCGCTTCCCAAAACCTGCCTCCTCAGAAGGTCCCCCTGCCCTAGCCACCCTCCCTGCCCCCCAGAGCAGCTCGCCTCCCCCCTCCCCTTTTCCCGAGCTGGACCGGGATGGTCCTGGGGCAGAGGCTGCCAGGGCCAGGTGGTCTCCGGGGTGATGCTGGCAAGTGGTGCCTGTCCAGCAGGAGCTGCGCTGGTGGGGTGCACCGCGTGCATCCCCCTCCAAAATGTTTTGATGGGAGACAGGACACTGGGTCCAGCCTTTGGGCAGAGGCTGGGCTGCCTCAGGGACGCGGGGACCCCTGCAGAGGCCGTCGCTGTTTTGCTGGCGACTGGATTTTATAGTGGCCAGGGGGTGGCCCTGGGGTTGGGCCGAGCCTCCGGCTGGGGCATGGCAGGGCGGGAGCCCCTGCCCAGAGCGCCGCTGCGGGCAGAGGCTCCCGCCTTGTATATATTTCTCTTGCTGTGATTTGTATTAATTTATTACGGAGTGAGCCAGGACTTCCCCACGGCCAGGCAGACAGGGTGGTGGCGAGACTGGACCGGGGTGCCCCTCCTGCTTTGGGAGCCCCCTCCAGCCCAGACCGGCTGGCCCTGCTGCCCCAGGAACTGCATGTTTCTGCCAGGTGCCCCTGTCCCCGCAGCGCCACGCCGCCGTCCCCCTTTTCAGTCTCTTTTGTAAATGTGCCAAATGCTGCTGAGGCCATGGCCGCACAGTAAAGAGCCTTTCGGAGCCTGGTGTGTGGGGCCGGGGGCTGCGCCGGGGGCAGGGGCAAAGGGGGCTCCTGAGGGCTGGGCTCCCCAGGGATGCTGGGCAGGATGCAGAGGGGTGCCACTGCCCCTTCTCCTAACGGGACCCTAGCTCGCTGGGGTGGAAGAAGCCATGTCAGAAAAAAATGTTTAATGCAGAGCCCTGAGGGCAGAGCAGGCTGGGGCTGGTGTCTGTGTGTCCATACGTTCCGGGGGGAAGCATGACCCCATCTCCCAGCAGTGGTGTCCATCTGTCTGTGTGCAGCCCCTGAGTGCCGCATCCTGGCTTCTAGCTCCCTGTGGGGACAATGGGAGTCAGGGAGAGCTGCAGCATCCCCGGACCTGCACGGGGCACCCGAAAGGGGTGTCCCAGACAAGGTGGGCACCGACCCCTGGTCCCATATCCAGCCTGCTCCCCTCACCCCAGCGCTCAGACCCTTGCAAGCAGTGGGGCATGGGGACAGGGAGGGACCCTGGTGTCCCTCTGCTGCAAGGCATGGTGCCACCACCAGCCCCCAGTGGTGCCCCTCAGGGTGCCCCCTCACCCTCCACGAGGAGCCGAGCAGTGGAGCGGTCATCGAAGGCGTCACAGGTGTATGAGTCCTCGTCCTCGGGGCCCACGCGGTGGATGATGAGCGTGCGGTAGCAGTCCAGATTGCAGATCTCGTACTTGTCACCGGCAAAGATCTCGGTGTCCCCGCGGAGCCAGCGCACCCGGCCCCGGGCGTGGGACACGGTGCACTCCAGTGTCGCCTTGTGCCGCGCCAGCACTGTCTTGTCCCGCAGCGGCTTCACGATCCGGATGGGCAGTGCTGGCGGGCAGGGGGGAGCCATCAGCATAGTGGGGTGAGCAGACTCCGTGGGGACCCCACAAGCTGACCCTGGTGCACCCCAGCCCTGGTGCTGGAGCCCAGCCAGCTCTCGCGCCCCGTGCCAGTACCTTCCACCTGCAGGCTGGCCTCTGAGACAGCCATCCCGGCTTCGAAGCGAATGAGTCCCGCGTCCTCAGGGCGCACGCCGCAGAGCAGCAAGAAATGCCGGGTCCCTGGGGAGGGAGAGGCAGGCTCAAGGGGATGGTGATGGGCGCCCATGGCAGGCAGGGGGCAGAGACCCCCGCTTTGTCCACACAAACACCCCTTTGCTTGAATTTGCCCCCTCCCAGCCCCAAATCAGGTGTGGGGCTGCCTGCACCCCCACCTTCTTGCCGTATCTTCACCGTGCTGGAGACCTTGATTTTCTCCCCGTCCCGGAACCACTCGCCCTTCACGTCCCCGTGCGATGCCTCACAGGTGAAGACGGCGTTGTCACCCTCCCGCACCTGGGCATCCTGCAGGTCCTGCACGATGCGGACCTGGCGCTCTGTGGGCGAGGGGCAGGGTGCCAGGGCGGCCAAGGGCGAGGGGGAGCGGGTGGCACAAGGTTTGGGGGTGCGCGTGCCTCTGGGAGCTGGGTGGCTGTACCCTGGACGTGCAGCGTGGCGGAGGCCCGGCAGTCGTCCGCGTCGCAGGTGTAGATGCCGGCGTCGGCCAGCTCGCAGCGGCTCAGCTGCAGGACGCGGCGCCGACCCGCGGAGTAGATGCGGCAGTTGGGCCCCGGCCGCAGCTCCTGCCCGTCCTGCCCGGGGAGAGCATGCTCAGGGGTGCAAGCAGGCAGCACCCCACTGCTTTGCCCCCCGTTCTGCTGCCTGCAGCCCCAGCAGGGATGGCAGCAGCCAGGGGGGTGAAACGGGGAGGACGATGCGGCTGGGCACTGCTGGAGGCAATTGGAGCGAACCCTCACCTTGAACCACTTCACCTCCGCACTGGGGCGAGACAGCTCGCACTCAAAGGTGGCGACCCCCGTCTCCGGAACCCCCAGGTCCCGCGGGACCCTCACCATAGTGACTGGAGGCTCTGAGGGGGGAGGACAGAGGGCAGGAAGGTTTGATAGGGGAAAGACGTGGGCTTTGGCCTGCGGCGATAGGGAGCTGTGCCCAGGGCATCTCGGCATGGGGCAAGGGTGGCAGTTCCTGGGGCACCACCATGGGTAAGCACTCATTGCTGGTGTCCCAGCTGGTTCTGCACCCAGACCCTGGCCAGGGGCTCCCCACTGCTCAGCTCACATCTCCTCCCAGGGGACAAGGGGACACTTGCCAGCTCGTGCCTGGAGTGGCCCAGCTGAGCCCTGGCATCTCCCCTGGGACTGAATGGCTGCAGGACAGGCAGCACTGGTGCCATGTCCCCCCCCCCGAGCCTGGCCTGGTGACCGTACCCCGCACAAGCAGGCGGGCACTGCAGCGCAGGTTGTCAGCGGTGAAGGTGACGGTGCCTGAGTCCTCCAGTGTCAGCCCCTCCAGCGTCAGGCTGTGCCCGCAGCCCATGGCGCTGATCCGGCATGTGCTGCTGGGCTTCACCCGGATGCCATCCCGCGTCCAGACCCCGGGCACGCCGGGGTGAGACAGCTCCAGGTGGAAGGTGGCCGTCTCCTTCTCAAAGGTCTCCACATCTGCCAGCGGTGTCCGGATCGACACCTTCCGGGCTGCAAGGGACCCATGTCTGCGAGTGGGTGCCTGCTCCACCTCACAGCCCCTGGCTCCCCAGTCTGTGCTTGCTGGAGTGATCCCCTAAATCCAGCCTTTTTTACCAGGCTCCCACCCCTGCCCATCCCTGACCCCCACGCTCACCCCTCTGCTCGACCACCCCTTCCAGCCAAGTACCAGCTCTGCCCACGCTCCCTCCTCCAGCCTGCAGCACAGTTGCAGCAGGCAGGTGCCCTCCCCATCCCCATCCCCATCCCCATCCCTTCCCATCCCCGTTCCTGTCCCCAGCATGGTACTCACGCTCCACACAGAGTTTGGCCTGAGTGCGGTCGTGCAGGCTCTCACAGCGGTAGGTGCCGCGGTCGCCAGGGCCGAGGCAGTGGATGGTGAGGGTGCGCCGGCACCCCGACTCCTGCAGCTGGTACTTGCTGCCCGGCTGGAGGAGGACGCCCTGCTTCAGCCACTGCACCTCGGCGGCCTCGTGGCTCACCTCCACCTCCAGGCACACGTCCCCCTGCTCCTCCGCCACCACGTCCCGCAGCTTCCGCACAAACAGCACCTGCGCCTCTGCACGGCCCGTGTGCCGGGTCAGTGGCCGGCCCCAGGGCTGTGCCCCGGGCTGTGCCCCGGCCGGCTCCTTCCCCCTCACCTTGCACGCTCAGCCGGGCCGTGCTCACCAGCCCTTCGGCGTTGGCCGTCACGGTGCCCGCGTCGCCCAGCTGGCACTGCTGGAGGGTAAGGCTGTGGCACAGCCCGCTCCTTGTCACCCGCAGCCGCTTGCCAGGGACCACGGGCTGGCCATTCAGCTGCCAGGTCACAGCCACATCCTCGGGGGACACCAGGCACTTGAAGGTGGCATCCTCCCCCTCCAGCACCGTCAGGCTCTGCAGCTCAGTGATGATCTCCACCACCCTGGGGACTACAACCGGGGCATCAGGGCACAGCGCTGGGGACCCCCCGTCCTGCAGAGCCACTGAGCGTCCCCGCACACCCCCCCCCCACCGCCATGCCCAGCTTCCCCACCGCCCTTGTGGCACAGGGGTCCCCGGGGAGGTGGCCGAGCCTCGGGCACAGCTCACCCTTCACCGTCAGCATCGCCAGCGTCTTGTCATCGTTGGACTCGCAGCAGTACTCGCCGGCGTCCTCAGGCTCCACGCGGCTCAGCACCAGCGAGCGCTCTCGCCCCTCCGCCATCATCTGCAGGCGGGGGCCGGGCACCAGCACCCGCCCGTCCTTCCGCCACACCACATCGCCCCGCGCCTTGCAGAGCTCGCACCACAGCACCGCCCGCTCGCCCTGCCGCGCACGCACGTCCGACAGCCCGCGCAGGAACTTCACCCGCAGCTCTGCATGGCCAAACCCCCCGTGTTGGCACCCACTGCCGCCACGGGGGGGGGAGGTCCCAGGCACCCCCACTCCCCCCCCC